AGTGACAACATCCTCTGTCTCTTTCCTGAAAGTGCGACCACCACCAAAATCATGAGCTGTGTTCTACTACAAAGTGGCCGCGTTGGCATCCTTTGACTTGGACTAATGTCAGAGCAAACTGCGATGATCCCACTCCTCCGTGTATTCTCCTCCCATACCAATATGGCCTCTTTCCCAATCCTTGCTGTACTTTGTTAGGAACATCCAACATGTTCTGACAACCAGAAGACTGGCCGGCCCAGAGCATTTTATCAGAAATGTGCAGATAGGCAACTTCTCCATGGGTAGTTAAAAGTCTACTTCCCACAAGGTAAGGAATCAATTGAAATTGAAATTACCACGTAGTAATCCTGAATAATCCCCAGGTAGTCCTAGTTTAGGAGCCCTGGTGGATGACACAGCAGGGAAGCAGTTAATTAAATTACTCACCAGCCTCTCTCGGAGAGAGATGTGGCTGTCTGTCGGCTTTATCTATGGCCTTGGGAAAACTCGTGGGGCAGTTCTACTCGGTCATAGCGAGTTGCTATGAATTTATAAGGGCTGTAAGAGCCACTAATATGATTTATTAACAACACCAACAACAACAAAAAAAGAACTGGAATCTACAAGGGCAGTGCAGGGGGTTTTCATTTGCCTTTGGAATTCCAATTTGCATACTAGTGTAAAATGATTTTAGACTATACAAATCAGAATTACCAAGCATTTGTTTTGTTTTGACTCTTTTTGTGTGCCTTCTCCAATCAATTAAGTCAAACTTTCTAGGGCTCCAAACCAAAACACCAAACTCGCTGCCACTGACTCAAATGGAGCCCAGGTGATGCTACTGCGGGGCTGAAAAATCACTGCTCCAAAATGCTGGAGACCCTCCCGCTCCTATCCCCGCCCTCCTAAAAGCTTTCTGTTCACTATTCCCCCTGGATGTGTTTTAGGTAATATGGTAAGGTAACCAGACGTCCCGCTTTTGGCGTTTTTAAAAAGTCCCGATTTTTGGAAAGAACGCACAAGCTAGGGAACTGTCTATTTGGTCCATATAGACCAAATTTTTAATCAAGTACACCCCACTTCCCGTCAATGGTGTCCCGATTTAAATCTGGTCACCTTACAATATGGTCTCAGCATCTCAACGATAACTGAGAAAAATATTTCAAAATCTAGGCAAACTTTGGAAGGTAGACCTGCCACTCGAACACTTTCTCATCACAGGCATGTCTGTCATGTAACCTAGTTCTCAAACACGTTCCCACCACCATGGGTTCCCAAGGTTCTTGTCTTAGCTGAGTGGGGGGTTTATGAAACAGAAATTTCTTTTCTGGATGTTTAAGGAGGCTGTCAACTGCTGTAGCAACCTTATAGGACACAGGTGAACTGCTCCAGAGGGTTTCTGAGGCTGTCAACCTTTCTGAAAGCAGACTACCTCGTCTTCCTCTTCCTCCTCTTCTTCCTCCTCCTCCTCCTGCTCCTCCCTCCTCCTCCTCCTCCAGAGAAGCAGCTAGTTCCACTGACCTTGACTTTCCATGAGCAGTCCACTCACCGTTTAACCCACTGCTCCAGCAGGGCTCCTGCTCAGAGGTTCACTCACTGCCATCCAATGAATTCTGACTCATGGGGACCCTACAGAGCAGGGTTTTCAGAAGTGCCCCTGTGTTTCTGAGCCTTTAACTCTTTACAGGAGTAGAAGACCCAGTCTTTCTCCCTCGCAGAGACCGATGGTTTCAAACTGCAGATCTTGAGGTTAGATGTTGAACATATAACCACTAGGCCATCAGGACTCCTTTATTTGGTGGGGAGAAGTCCAAATTCAGGATGCTGGCTCTGGGGGCAGGCCTCTTCTCTCTCAGTCCTCTCTAGGCTCTGGACTAGAGAAAGGTCCTCCTCTCTGGATTGAGCTCCTGGCAAAACTCCAGTGCTTTGGCACCTCCTTCCCTGCTTCTTTTTTGCCTCAAGAAACTGGTTCCAGAGCCCCCGCCCCCACTCTCAAATTGGACTATAACCTTGGGCCTAGAGGTTAAGATTTACAGCTTTTTTTGGGGGGTGGGGGAGCCACACACACAATTTCAATCCCCAAAAATTCCTCAAGAGGAATCTCAAATGAAATAACAGTAATATAAAATTGATCAAGGATTCACGAGGGTGGGAGGGTGCAGGAGAGGGAATAAAAGAAGAGCTCAAGTACAAAGAAAATGTTTTGGGAATGTTGATGGCAACAAATGTACAAGTGCAGTGCATACAACTGAATGATGGATTGCTGTGATTTGTAAGAGCCCCCAATAAAATGATTAACAACAACAAAAAGCGGAATCTCAAAATGTGGCCTTCATAGCAACAGGGTCGCGATGAGCCGATGGCAGCAAGTTTGTTTGAACTGGGAAAGTGGCATGGGCTCTGTATTCCTGGCTTCATGAAACTCTTGTTTTAAATAATTAAGTGAGCGTACTTTTAACCCCATGCACACTACTGAAAAAATGAGTGTCTGACACCATAAACCCAAACCCATTATACCAACCAGGTCAATCCCAACTCACAGCAACTCTAGACCAAAAACCAAACTCCCTGCCATCATCAAGGAGGTTTTGGTGCAGTGACCTTATAGGGCCGGATGGAACTCCCTGTGAGTTTCCAAGACTATAACTCTCACAAGAGCAGAGACCTATGGTATTCTCCCTTGGAGAGTGGCTGATGGTTTCAAACCCCTGACCTTGCCGCTAGCAGCCCAAAGTGCTTAATCACTAGGCCACCAAGGGCTCCCAATAGCAACTCTACAGAACAGAGTAAAACGGTCCCACAGGATTTCCAAGGCTGAGAAGCAGGCTTCTGAGAAGCAGACAGCCACCTCTTTCTCCCCTGGAAGGGCTAGTGGCTTTGAACTTCTAACCTTGGGTGAGCAGCCAAGCATTTAAGGACTCTAACACTAGTGGCTCCTTTGTATGAAACCAACGAAAGCCTTTTTTTTTTTTTAACAGGTCACCCTACATGTCTCTGGAGGACATCATACCAGGCAGAGCAGAGGGGCCTTGAAAAAGGAATGCTCTCCCCAAGGTGGACTGACACAGGGACTGAAACAACGGACGCCAACGGAACAATTTTGAGGGAGGTTCGGGACCAAGCATTGGTTTGTTCTGTGGTGCACAGGCTCCCTGGGAGTAGGAAATGACGCCAGGACCCGGATCAACAACATCCTACATAAACCGATCCGGAGGGATGTTTATTCACATCATTACAATGGCAAATGTTTCATCATTACAATGGCAAACTAGCTAAAAGCAATGCGCTATTGTAGTGCAATGCTTTATTCCATTGCCATCTTTTTCCATGAGGTGTTTTTCTTCAGAAGACTTAGAGCAGCAAGCAGCAGGGATTTCTAGACCCCAAGCTAGTTCCTGTGTGAATGAGATATAAAAAAGAGGCGCCCTGGTGGGAATCTCAGTGCAGATCTGGCACAGGGAACACCACCCTTTGAAGAACCATGTCCTTCTCCCAAGCATCCGCCCTAGAGGTCCCATAGTTTTTCACAAAAACACTCCACCTAGTGTCATCTTCAGATTTGAGAACTGTGATTAAAAAGAACCCATCAACCCTGCTCCTCGCCCATCCCACCCTTCTTTTTTTCCCTCCACCTCCTACTGAATCCGTGCATCATAAAGTCAGCCGGGGTAAAAAGACAAAAGAAACCGATCCTGTGAATTGGGGTGGGGAGGGAAGGGGGTGACCTCTCCCTCTGGTTTAGACTTTGGACTTTTCCTAAATTGTCCAGTTTCAGGACGCGGTGGTGCTGAGTTGGCTGCTAACCACAAAGTCAATGGTTCGTACCCACCAGTCACTCGGCGCCAGGAAGATGAGGCTTTCCACGTGAGACGTTCCAGTCTCGGAAACCCACCCGGGGCACTTCCACCCCGGCCTGTGGGGCCGCTAGGAGTCGAAATCGACTCGATGGCAGGGAAGACGAGCGACAGCTTCGGGGAAACCACCGAACAGTCCCGGGGCCGAGGTACTGAAGGAACGTACCCAAAGCGGCTGGGGCTGTCACCTACGTTTACGTGCTTGGGGGTGCAGGGGGCTGTGGGTTCCAGGACGAAGGGGCTTCAGAACGTTGGTGGGGGAAAGGGGTGTCGCGAGAATAGCATTTTCCCCAAAACCTGTTGGCGTCGATGCATCAAGGTCCTGAGCCCTGGCTGCGCCGCGCTCGCCACCGAGCCGAAAGCCGAGCACCGAGCGCATCTGCCCG